TATTTTTTAAATCTATATAGACCCAAGTTATATATTTTGAAAATTTTCTATTCCTTCTATATATAAATTATTTTAATTCTTTGATCTCTGCATAATCTTATTTTAGTTAAAAAAATGTCGTTCCCATTTTATTATCATGATTCTTTTTTGTTTTATTTTAAGAAAAATTTTACTTACTTACAGGTCAATTTATTGTCAAAATGGTCAAGAAAACTTTTTCATCATCATTTCTAAATAAAACTCATTGACAAGTTCATTAAACTTGTAGTAAACTTGCGTTAGTCAAAAAAAAAAAATAACAAATTTTATATAGCGCGATTGTCCGAAATTGAATGTTAAAAAAAAAAATCTTGTATAACAAAAAATTTGCGTTTTTTTTAAGAACTTTTTTTTTCTGTAATTTTTTAATTGCTTTAAGCAAATTATATTTTTTTTTTCTTTCATTTTCATTTTAAAAGATTTATTAATGATGACTTTAAATTTCGATGGTTTGCTTAAAAAAATTTTTAGATAAAATGAAAATAAAAAAAAAATTTTTAAATTATGAGTTCCTTGTCTCTTTTATTTTATTTCTATGTAAGTATGTACAATTTTTAGTAGAATGAATGACAGATCAAAAGTTAATAGTTCCCGCCGTCTTGGCAAACTAAAATCTAAACGAAACTGAATTAAAAATATTTTTTTTTTGTTAATATATTTTGACTGACTGCTTTTAATTTCTAATTTTATTTTTTAAATTTTCGTTATTACGGTTCCTGTATCACATTGTTTTCATTAAATAATCCGATTTAAATGTCTAGGTTAAAGAGGGATAATTATAAAAAGTTACAAATGTTCACACAATTTTCTTTATAGAGAATGTGATGTTTTTTAAGTAGATAAATTAAACCTTTGAATAGATGTTGGGATGTGGTCATGTTTTTTGTATAAGATAATAATTTTAGCTTAAGTTAAGAATTTGATAAAAATTGCCATTTTATTTATAAAAGAGCGTCGTGTTTAGTTTGAAATGTTTTTTGCTTTGTTTTGAAGTTTAATTTGTCAAATATTATCAGTTTTATTGTTTTAAATATCAGAATATTTTTTGTTTTGGTTTAAAATTTTTTACTTATAATTTTTTACTTTTTGTTTTGGTTTAAAAATTGTTTTACTTGTATTGTTCGTCTACTGGAATTTTTATTCAAAAATTTTCATAAGATTTTAATTCAAATAAGTATTTTTTTTCGCAGAAGAATTTATTTTAATTAATTTTTGTAAAAATAAACAAAGTTTTTGAATGAACAGTTTTAAAACTTAAAATGCTTACTTCAATTTGATGGTAATTTTGTTCATATATTTTTAATTTTTAATTTGTACTCACTTATAATTTTTGTTTTTGAGTTTAAATTTTAAACCTGTTTTAACATAAAGCTTTATTGAAGCTATTTTAATTATTTTGAGAATAAGGTGTAGTTTTATGGTACAGATACATAAGTTTGTTATTAAATTCACCAATTTATGAAAAGAACCTTTTAAACTCTGTTAAAATTGGCATTTATATAGTCGTTCCTTAATAAAACATATGTACTCGTATATATTCTTATTTCTGCAAAATGCTCTGTTTAGAGAACATTTTATTTATAAGGTTATGATTGCATATATATGTAAGTATAAACTCCGAATTAATAAGGGTTTCCAAAAAGTATTAAAAGAATAGTGTGTAAGATATTTAGTTCATTAATTCACATTATTTAAATTATGAACCAAAAATTAACTTTTTCAGCAAAATAAATTCTTGGTGGGAGACAAATGTTTCTAAAATTTAAAAAAAAAAAAATAACAAAATGATAAAACAATTAAAAAATTTTTTGATATGTTGTTTATAATAAAACTAGTTTCGAATTGAAATAATTATTTTTAAAATTGTTTCTTCGAATACAATTAGAAATAAATTATTTTATGTACATGTAATAAAATTGTATGACTCATTGTAATTAAATTAAAAAAAATTCTAATCATAATATTTCTGTCGTCACCGTTTTTATGTTTGAGTCTTATAAATTTAATAAACAAAAAAATTCTCTATTATAGTTAATCTGATTGTTCCCTTTTATTTTTTCAATTTTTATTAAATTTTATTAAAACTTAATCACTTAGATTTTTTACTGGCTTTTTTCCTAATGGTTTAAGACTCTACATGAAATAGACATTATTTTTATTATCGATGATATACAGTCTAATTACGAAGGGCCTCATCATGTAATTAAATAAATTGATGATGTTGTTTTTCTTCTGTTCCTGACCACATCGTCCATTTTTCATTCTTTCAGTATCAAAAAAAAAATAGCATTAATAATAATAATGTGTAATAATAAATTAAATAAGTAATATTTCCTAAATTAAGTGTAAAAACTTACATTTTTACATTTTCTATTTATGTATTTTATTATATATGTACATAGTAAGAAATATTTCAGGAAAATAGGTAAAATATCGGAATTTATGATATACAGTTCTCCCCGGTTAATTGAACCGAGAAAAGTTGCACACTTTTTGTATCAATTAAGCGGGTAAATCAATTAAAAAAATCCCGTTTAATTGAACAATTGGTGCAATAAAACGAATTTTTTTAACTGAATCGTTTACGCATGAAAACGAATACTCGCTATTGAAGATCAGGCGCAAAAACGAATTTGATCCTGCTACTGCATAAAATTAATAAAAACAATAGGAAGCATATCCTATTACATATACTTATCAAAATATCCTAGGTAAAAAGCTATATTTAAAATAGGGGATACACTAATGAAATACTAAAACTCAAATTTTTCTTTATTTCAAAATTTAAAAACTTAAATTTTTCATCATTTTAAATCCATCTAAGTAATGTAACTGTGAATTCAAATTCAAAATATGTAAACCATAATATTTTTATATCACATAACATAACAAAAATTAAAAATAAATATTTCATATCAAAAATAAAAACAAATTATTCCATATGTTAATTTTATAATTTTTCAATAAATTTAAAAACTTAAATGTTTCTTTACTTCAAAATTTTAAAACTTAAATTTTTCTTTATTTTAAATCCATCTAAGTAATGTAACTATGAATTCAAATTCAAAATATTTAAATCATAATATTTTTATATCACATAACATAACAAAAATTCAGGTCAATAAACAGGGGGATTTTTCACAGTTTTTATAAGGTAATACCAAAAAAAGAGATTCATTTAAGCGAGTTGTTCAATTAAACGGGACTCAATTAAACGATGTTATTCATGTGTATTTTAATAGGGATTTAAAGTTGCCTTAGTTTTTCGTTCAATAAAAGGGGAAAATCAATTAAGCGTGGTGCATTTAACCGGGGAGAACTGTATCTAATTGTGGATCAGGAATGTTTAATAATGCGTTTAATAATTAAATTTTAATTTTGCAAGTTGTAAAATATTAATGAAATAGAATAGAATTTATTAAATTTTACAATTAAAATTAGTTTAAATCTATATTTTGAAGGTTTTTTTTAAGTAATTTAACAATTTTTTCAAAATTGTTTTTAAAATCACAAAAAAAAAAATTTGTGGTGAAAATTAAAATTAATATTCACCATTCAAAATGAACATTCACATCTAACTCCTAAATAAAATTTTAACAATGTATGAAATGAAGTGAGAAATGAAAAAAGACATATTCATAAATTCTATATTTCATTATTTTTTTTTAAATTAACTATTGAAAATATAGTTATTATTATGTAAAAACTTAATTCAATAGATCCTCGGTGAATAAATCTATTCTATTAAGAATTTAATTTGATGTTGAATAAAATAAAATTCTAGTTTAAATTTCAAAATCACTTTCGCGACATCTGTCGTCAAATACTTCGTTCAAACGAAAATCAAGGCTTAAAGAAAAAAATTAAATTTCTACCACTGTCAACTCTTATATACAACATTCAAGTTTGACAATCAGCTGTCATATAAATTTTGTTTACAAGTGCTTTTCTTTCAGCAAATAAAGAAATAAAACTTTGATATGTAAAATTATAAGGCATAAAGACAAAAATAATTAAATTTATTTTAAATTGATAACAAATACAAGTAGTGACAACAAAATTTGTCTACTCTATAAAATACAAAATGGATAAACTAAATGAATTTTTGAAATAAATCTATAAATGATGAAAAAGGAAATATATGGCTGTGAGAAAAAACATCAATTCTAAATTAAGAATGAAAATACATAATAATAAATTCCTTACAATTCTTATAAGAAGATTTTTCAAAATGTCTAAAAAAATATCAAAAAAAAATATCACTTTACCAGATATTCTAGTCAATTCAAAATACGCTTGAAAAAAGAAAAAAATAAAACAAATCAATTATGAAAGAGGCCTTGAAAAAAATAAGATAAGTATGCAATAAAGGAATTAATAAACACAACAGTAATTAGGATAATCCACCTATACCTATACCCCACTTCCGAATCAGTAAAACCAGTTTAAATAATTTACAGGTAAAAATTTACATAATTCATATAAAACATTCTATGTAACATTAGTTTAAATATTTCATAATTTTAGGAAGAATTATATTTTTTGACACAATAGGTATGTATGTAAAAAATAGCATGTGGGATTAAAATAGAAAATATTTGTGTTAATAAAATAAAAATTAAATAAAATATTAAATTGATGTCTGTTTCAATCTTTTCTATAAATCTATCCTTTTCTTCTATTATGTGTTTTATTTTTTGAAATATAAAAATTTTAAAAATAAATTCTCCATTGAAATATTGATTTTTGTTATTTTGAGTAGGTAATTTATTTTAGTGTATGTATGTACTAAAATTTCCTAAATTACTTGATTATATTATTGTAGTTGCTTTTATTTTCAGCTCCTAGATTTTAATGTACTTTCAGTTTTAAGTTAAGCTTATTTGGTGTAAAATAAAATACCTACTTTCGGGTAAGTTTCGATTAAATGGCTCATGTTTTATTGAAATTGATGTAATTTTCGTCTTGATTTGGATAGTCTTACTAATTGCGATATTTTACTATTATATTATTAATTTTCAAACTCTCTGTGTATTTCATATCATATAAATTACATTCACCTTTTATAATTTTTTATCATAACGAGTTCAGCGGTTGTTTCGTATTAATTAAAACTATAGGAATAATATAACGAAAGAATAATATTATTAAGTTCGAATGAAAATAAATTTCTTTAATATTAGGTACCAATTGTTGCATTTCTTGTTTTAGGACAAAAGGACTTCATTTAAGACCTGATTGTTAAATTTGCTGAGTTAAATAAACTTCATCAACGCTGCTTTTTTTCAATTCCTTATAATTTTAAATTGGCAATTTTGATGCATGTTACAAATTTTAATTAAAAAGTGCGCAATATTTTAATTTATTAAGTACCAAAAAGCTTTAATCATACTATACAAATATTTATTAAAATTTTACAAAAAAAGTAACTTTTAATTTTCTACTTATTTTAGATATATTTTTAGTTTTGTAGTCTTTTTATTTTGGAAAATATTTAAAATTTATAAAAAAAAAACAAAATTCTAAAATAAAATGTTACTATTACTATAATTTAAAAAAATAATTTAGAACATAAACTAATAACTAATAAAATTATTGACACACATATGCTGGAGCCAGCTCCCGTTGCTTGAATAACAATTCTATCTTCTATACCAGGATATACTGGTGTTTTATCTTTAATATATTCAACTAAAAATTCGTAATCGGTTAATGGTAACAATTCTCTAGTTGCATCTGTAAAATCAAATCCATCACCACCACCAGCCAAAAATTCAGACATTATCACACCATAATATGCATCATCATTTAAATCAAAATAAGTTGGAACTGAACAATCAGCACATAAAACTTGAACATCCTTTAAACGTTCACCTTCTTTTTTTCTCATATCATATACAACTTTAAGGCCAGACATTTGAAGGAAACCACCATTTGAATCTTTATCCCATACATCGGCGGAATGTTGAAGAGCTCTTCTTAAAGTTGAACCTTTCATTGTTACTTTTTCCATGCTAGTTCTAAATGGCATTGTCGTAAGAATATCACTTAAAGTAATACTACCGTCAGGTCGTTTTTCAATTGGAGCCCGAATCCCTAAAAAATATAAAAGTTTTTTTTAATTTACATGATTAAAAAACCAAGAAAAAAAATCAATATTTAATTTTTTAATACCTCCGCCTTGTATCAAACCGATAGCGGCATCGGTCCATGTGGAATTAAGTGATGTTTGATTTAATTCTCTGACTCTTATAAAAACCAAGGAATCTGCTATTAAATTTCCTAAATTACATTCTTCTTTACGACAAACATCTCCACCACCTTCGAGTGGTACTTTTGTATATCCAACTATTTGTGTTTCTAAAGCAGTTATAAGTGGTCTGTAAACTTCCAACAATTCTAAAACATCTGAGTCTTCTGGAATAGTGGCATTCAATAATATTGGCTTACCATTCCAGTTTACTAAGTTTCCAGTCTTATCAAACTATTAACAAAATAAATATCAATATGTACATAATTTATATAAGTATGTATATTGTAATTTTAAATGTTGTTTTTTTATTACTTACTTCAACTTCGATTTTGCCTAAATATTTGGTATATGCATAAGCTTGTACAACAGGAACTTCTTTTCCTCTACTATTTTTAACTAGTGTTGGATACATTCCTTCAGGAATCTCATTACTTGGTGGTCTCCCTGTATAAAGAAAAGTATGACTATGACCCCCAATCACTATATCAACATCAGGGCATTTTTTTGCGATTTCTTGATCTTTTTGATATCCAGAATGTCCAAGAGCGATAATTATATTAATACCACTTTCTCTAAGTGATCTTGCTTCTTCACTAAAAATGTGTGTAAATCTGTGTAAAACTTTTATTTAAAATAAAATTTATTTTACTTTATTGCTTCAATCTCATCAGTCAATTCAACACTACAATCTTTTGTTATGTTTTTAGTATCTGGAGTAAGATAACCTATAACACCAACTCTTGTTCCTGCTATATCAAATACAGTTGAATTTTTAAGCCATTCTGAATTCTCTAATGATGTGTTTTCTACTTTAATATTTGCTGTTAGAACTGGGAATTCAACTTCATTTAAAAATTCTGCTAGATTTTCAGTACCTTCATCAAATTCATGATTTCCTAATGACTAAAAATATAGAATATTTAAGTTTTATCTAAATATAGAAATATATATGTACATACAATGGCATCCGGTGACAAAATGTTTAGAAATGCAGCTGTAATATTGTCCCGATATATTGTAAACCATGGCGTTCCTGTATAAGTATCACCTGCATTCAAATATAAAACGGGGAGACCACCATTTTCACTTTCATTGCGATACTTGCGAACTCTTAATAGTAAAAAAAAAATTTTTTTTTATTTTTAAATAGTTTTTAGTAATATAAGGAAATATAGGAATTTAACTTACTCATGTGCTACTCTTGCAAATCCGCCGTAACATTCGTTGCTATTTGCGTCTTCTGGCGAACATCTTGTCGCATATTTACTAACTTGTTCAAATCGAGCATGCATATCGTTATTGTGTAAAATTATAAACTTAAAAGTATTTTCATTTTCTAGTTCTTTAACAGTAGCTAAAAATAAAAGAAAGAGAATAATTTTAAAAACAGTACAAAATGCAGATGGTAGTTTATTAAATATGAAGTAAGTTATAGTTAATTACAAACCCGCTATTATATTTGTGATAAAAATTCCGAGGATGATTAGTACTTTTGAAGAAATCATATTTTTAAAATTTAATCTGAAAAGAAAAATTTAAGTCAATAAAATTTTAATTGGAACTGTAGATGTACATATACAAATACAATAATTTTGTAAATGGCAAAGTAATAATTATCTTTAAGTAATTAAAGTTAAATTAGAATAAATCAAGCAGGTAAATATTATTACAAAATGATTTTATAGTAATTGTCAGGGGATCTCACTTCAAACTATTGAAAATTTTATTTAAAACTATTCAAAAACTTTAACTATGTAAATGAAATACATACTTATTATTCATTAGGGAAAAATTAAATAAATATTGCATTAAATCATTAATTCCATGTTAAAAACTAAACGGCATGATTTGAATTCTAATTAATATGAAAATTAATCAGTGGCAAGACGGGAAAACTTCTTAAGTTAATTTTATATTTATATGTTGCAGATAAATTTAAAATTTCCCGAATTTTCAACAAATTATTTTTCAGAAAATCATATGGTAATTAAAAATATTCACCATAACTGTAGTTTTATTAGAAGGTTCGAGAGTTATAGTTAGAGAACATACTGTCCACTCATTTCAAAATTTTCGAGAACCGAGGAAAAAAAATTTTGTTGTTTTAAAATTTAATTAAATTTTAACTCTTGTTTTTTAATCATTAACTTTTGCGGAAATTTCTTTCAAATGAAAAATAAATTGAATTTAAATATTAATTTGATTTTCAACTATAAAAGGTGAAATGATAAACATCGCGCATAAAATTTTTATTTCTCAAATTTGATTTACGTAGACGTAGAGTATATATGCTAATATGCCAATCTATTTGTCTAACAGACACCTCGTGCATTAATGAACACTTTAAAAAAATTGGTACGTAGGCGTGTAAAAAATTAACTGTGTATACAACAATGTAGGTTTTATTGTTCTATTTCTTTCACGTTTCATATAGTATGCTCATATAAATAAAATGTTTTATGACAACTATATGAACTTTTTATTATTTTAAATTAAATTTTCAATGTGATTATACTTAAATGTTTATAACATGCAATTTAGTGCGTTTATTCATTAATATGTGATTGTTGTATGTAAAATGTATGTATATCTACTTTAAGTATTAGAATGGCTTAGTACTTAAAATTCTTATCAATTATGCAAACATTTACATTAATTAGCATTTAATCTTACATTTTATTTTATCTTTTTTTTTCATTGTTTTAAAATTCTTAACATGTAGTTCAAATACCTACTACAATGTGTTGCTCAATGCAAGACTATTTTGGTTATATATATATACATATAATACTTGAATTGATTTTGCAAAATAAATTTTTATGCAACATTTGATCTCAACATATAAAAAATATTAAGGAAAAATAGCATGACATACATGTTTCATTTCTACAGAAACCTTATTTAAAGTAAATTAAAAAATAAAATAGAACTCCAATAGTTAAAAAAAATAGCCTTAAATTGTTCTCATTCCCTATGTGAAAATTGTTTTATGGAATAAAAAGGTTTTTCGCTGTTGTTTTTGGAGAAAGGACGATTGAATATAATAACTATTCTGACTTCAAGATTGTAGCAAAACAGTGTTAAAAGACAATACAGTTTACCAGTTATAATTATTAGTTGTATAATATTGCAGTATTACTGGAGTAGAGTAATACTACAATTTTGAAATCACTAATATTTGTTTCGACTGCAAGAACATTGAAACTAATCTATATTATTCTTTACTCAACAAATGCAATTATATTAATTTAAATCTCAGTTACTTATTGTTATATTATAAGTTTTTTGTTTTAAAAACAGATGAGAAATTTTTAAAAAACTACAATTCTAAATAACTTGTAAAATAAAGTAGGAGTACACAAAGGCCCAATAGCAATAAATTTAAAACTAAAATTTCCTCATATGTAAAATTAATAAAAATATATTGTAAATTATTACAATTTAAATTAAAGCTAAGTAAAGAAACTAAAACATTTATAGCTATAGAGTAAAGAATTTAATTTCCAAACTAGAATCCAAAATTAATTTACACCTCTTGATTTTACGCCACCAAATTTTTAACAAAATTTCCAAATCTTATAATTTTTATTGTCAGATTTATGTTTGTCCAAAATCTGCACGATTTTAATTTTTTTTTTTTTTTAAATTAAAAAATAAAATTTCAACTTACATTTACATAAAATAATAAAAATTATTTAATTAACTGCAAAACTTAAATAATTAATTTTTTTTTTTCAAAATTAATGAAACAATTTAATTTTCTATATTGTAAAAAATGGCAATAAAAAATTAACACGTTATGATAAATGAGTTGTAAAAATAAAAAAAACAAGAATAATTTAAAATAAAAAATTTAAAATAAAAAATTTTTTAAGCGAAAACGTTTCGTATGGAATGAAATTTCAAAACTGCTGGGCTTTTAAGCTTTATTTATTTTATATTATCTGTTTGTTACCTTTATATATATTTGTTTAAATATTTTTTTTTAATTCTTTTTATAACAAAAAATAAAACATTTTAATTCTATAAATAATAAAAGTAAAATAAAAAAATTATCTTTACTGAGGTGTTTTTTTTTTCATATTTGACATTAAAATAATTTTTTTTTTCTTTTGTTTAAAAATTTTTAATAAACTCATATTTTTTTTTTTAATTTTAATAATCAATTCAACTAATATTTTAGTAAAATAAAAATTATTTTTTTTTATGTATAAATATTTTAAGTATTTAATATTAATTGAGCGTGCAAAGTGTATTGAGCTGAACAAATATTTTTTAAAATTGTAAAATTAAAGAACTGCCAGATAAGATTGAAATAAAATCGATAAAGTTAAAATAACTAGTGTTAAATATGAGAACTTCGGTTCCAGATTCATCATTAAATAGATATTTGAAAAAATTTAAAATAAAAAAAAATAAGTCATAAATTACATATACTTTGGCATAGCAATTACAAATAGAGAGAATTTAAAACAATATACCTACATACGTAAAAATATAAAGGTTCGAAATACGAGTATAGCATAAAAATAGAAAATTATAGAATTAGTTTTGCATAAATTGCAAATAAGCATTTTTTACATTAATAATTTATACATTTATAATTTTATATGCAAATAAATTTAAGAATTTGAAAAATTGACAATAATTGATTCACAATTAGCGAATAAATAAACTGCTAATTTAGCATTAAACCATAACATCTGGCAATCATTAAAAATATTATAGCACATTAGCAAAAACAACAGTAATTATATGTGTATAATGTATTTTCAGCAACAATTATTATGTGTATGGATGTATTTTCAATAAAGCAATCAGGTACCTGAAACTGAAAATTAATGTGAGTTTTTACAATTTTTAATATAAAATGTGACGTTTTTTAGCACTTTTCCAAAAAATTTTTTGAAAAAAGTGCTTATTAGTTTCACTCTGTCCGTCCGTCCGTCCGTCCGTCCGTCCGTGGACACTTTTTTTGTTTACAAAACTTCTACACCCTTTAAGATAGAAAGCTGAAATTTCATACGTACATAGATCTTCACTAGAAACTTATCTCCGTAGAACAAAATTTTTACCTATCTCCCCCCCTCTAGAAGTTATACCCCCCCAAAACCCTAAAAATGGCCTTTTTTAAATATTTGTTGCAATGAAACCATAAGCATTTTTGAAATTTTGCGAACGCAGAAAGGCAGTGAGTTGCTTCCCCTAGCGCGATATACTATAGATAAACTTTAGAAAAACAAAATGGCCGTTCAAATTTACCGTTATCTAAAGTCCTTTTTTTCCAAATTTTTGATGTCATTTTTCTTCTAGACCCCAGACTGTAGAAGCTTGAAATTTTAGGAGCTTTTAGACATTAACAAATAGTTCATTTTGTTAGAAGAAAATTTTTTTCCATCTCCCCCCCTCTCAAGTTATCACCTCTTGAAATTCGTAAAATTTGAATTTTTGACACCTTATATTTCCGAAACCGCAAGCTTTTCCAAATTTTTATAAACGCAAAAAGCTAACGGTAAATTCCATGAAATTAAAAAATATAATTATTTTTCTTAACTCACACAATTAACCCTTAAAATCGAGCATTATGTTAACCCCTTTTTATATTAATTTTTGCTTTATTTCAAAGACTGCATATATGCGTCATCCTAAATATATGCAATTCTAGAAATAGTTTTGTATATGAATGAAAATAATTTTAATAGTTTCATAGGTATACATAGACTGTATTTAAAAGCAGAATTTTCACTTGTTGAAGGGAAAAGTGCTACAATACAAACCATTGGTTTGACCCAACTTTATTTTTTTTGGATCTACAATTCTCGAAAGGAATTATACATAAATTGGTATAGGCATCCTGTAATATCATAATGAATTAAGTTTGTCATTAACGAATTAAGAGAAATAGTCAATCGGTTTCGCTTTCAAAGATTTTCTAAATAGAGAAATAAAAAAATATTGTAAATTCAATTGTCATGTTGATACGCTATACAGGTAGATTTATATGTATGTATGTATATAATATTATAAAATATCAAATTGTTATGTGAGTTATGATTTTTTTTTTTGATAAACAAAATTTAATTCAAATAAATAACTTCAATATATACATGTAGAAAAATTAAATAATGATCGTAATAGAAAATTTATAACACAATTTTCTTTTAAGTGAAAAATAAATTGCGCTAAAAATAAATCATTGTTTCTAACTTGAACACGTTGTGCTTTCTATTTTTTTTCTTAGATTGCTTTCGTCTTATTATTTTCATGTAGGGTTGGTAATTTTGTCAATTTGAATATAATTAATATATAAAAACAAACATGAAATAAATTGCGGACAATATTTTATTTGTTTAAGATCAAATAGACTTTATATATTTTTTTTTGTATAAAAGGTCTAGCTATTTATAGAAATTTACCTTCAATATTTGATTAAGATTTAGATAAGAAGAAGAAGAAAGAAACTTGATATTTTATTAATTAAAATTTGTATTCATTATATTGAAATTAAAATTTATAGTTCA